ACCACCTCTATCTCCCTCTCTCCCTTTCTCCCCTCCCATCCCGTTCTGCCACCCCCCACCCCTCTTTTTCTCTTTTTTCCCTCCCCACCCTCCCACCCCGCCTCCAGGTTCCTACATCAAATCATTTAGGACAAAACTTCACATCTGAAGTTGTAAAAGCTTCAGTTCACTGCCACATGAGTCCCTGGGTAGGAAACACTGCCACGTTCCTAGTTGGCTGGCAAGAGTGCTAAATGACAACTAGGCAATATCCTCCAAAACCACAAATGTGCATGTGCTTTGACCTGGCAAATCAGCTTCTAGGAACCTAGGGAACTGATACTGTCACAGGCGTGGGAAATGGTGTGGACATGGTCACTCATCAGAGGATAGTTTGCAAATGCAAAGAGTTGGAAACACCCAAGGGCTCATCTGCTGAGGACAGGTTCACAATTTATTGTGGGTTCGTGCATTGGAATGCTGCATAGCTGTGAATGAATGAACCAATGAATGAATGAATGAATGCTATGTCCTTGCCTAGAAAGATCACCAAGATTTGTTGCTAGGTAAAAAGCAGGAAGAGGCAGAACAATGCTACTAATTTTTTTTTCAGTGTGGGAGGAAAGAATAAGGAAATTATGTATAAGGAATATATATAATATTTATATACGTATATAAGGAAATTTGTATATGTATGTATATATAAGGAAAATACATATAGAAAATAAATTCCTTATATACATAAGAAAAGAATAAGGAAATATGTTCATATTTGCTTAATTATACAAGCTTCCAGATGATTCTGTTAAAACACAAATCTGATCACATTGGCTCAAAACCCTCCAAAGTCTTCCGATCTCTTAAAATGTCAATGTTTTATTCTGACCTGTTCTTGTGATTGTTCAGTTGCTAAGCTGTGTCTGACTTTTTTCGACCCCATGGACTGCAGCACACCAGTCTCTCCTGTCCTTCATTATCTCCAGAGTTTGTCCATTGAGTCGGTGATGCTATCTAATCATCTCATCCTCTTCTGCCCTCTTCTCCTTTGGCCTTCAATCTTTCCCAGCATCGGGGTCTTTTCCAATGAATCAGCTCTTTGCATCAGGTGGCGAAAGTATTGGAGTTTCAGCTATAGCAGCAGTCCTTCCAAAGTATATTCAGGGTTGATTTTCTTTAGGATGGACTGATTTGATCTCCTTGCAGTCCAAGGGACTCTCAAGAGTCTTCCCCATCACCACAATGCAAAGGCATCAATTCTTTGGTGCTCAGCCTTCTTTATGGTCCAGTTCTCACATCCATACATGACTACTGGAACAAACATAGCTTTGATTATACAGGCCTTTGTTGGCAAAGTGATGTCTCTGCTTTTTAATATGCTGTCAAGGTTTGTCATAACTTTCCTTCCAAGGACCAAGCATCTTTGAATTTCATGGCTGTAGTCACCATCCACAGTGATTTTGGAGCCCAAGAAAAGAAAATCTGTCACTGCTTCCACTTTTTCCCCTTCTATTTGCCATGAAGTGATGGGACCGGATTCCATCATCTTAGTTTTGTAATGTCCTTGTCTCCTTTGCTTGTCTTATTTTTCTTCATAGCTTTTACCACCCCCTGGTATGTATAGTACCTGTCTACCTTTTTATTATCTTCCTCTCCCCAACTCTCATCCAACCCAGGACCTCCAGAAGGGCAGGAACTCTGTTTCTTGAACATCGCTGTATCTTTAGCACCTAAGACAGGGCCAAACACACAGTAAGTGCTCAATCAACATGTACTGCTTGAATTAATACAAAGAGCAAAGGGCCATGGTGGGAGAGCCCAGGGAGCTGTGAGAACCAGAGGAAGGTGGTTTCAATGGGACACCAGACCACTCTCAGGGCTCAGAGGTGGAAAGGGCCTGGAGTGGGGCCGGGGCGGGGTGCTGGTGATCGGGAACCAGACAACTCCTTAACTCCACCCACCCATTCCAGCTGGCACCCTTCTCTCTCCATCATGGCCTTGCCCAGCCATATTCAGACCTGCAACAAGATGTTTTATTTTATTAATTTATTTTATTTTCGTTGTGCTGGGTCTTCATTGCTGCACACAGGCTTCCTCTAGTTGGGCCTAGATGGGGCTTCCCTTGTTGCCGAGCACAGGTTCTAGGAGCATGGGCTTCAGCAGTTGTGTGGTGCAGGTTCAGTAGCTTCTGCTCATGGGCTCTAGAGCACAGGCCCACACGCTCCGAGGCATGTGGAATCTTCCCACAGGCTCAAACCCATATCCCTTGCATTGGCAGGAGGATTCCCATTCACTCTGTGTGTGTGCCAAGTCGCTTCAGCTGTGCCCGACTCTTTACAACGCTATGGACCATAGCCCACCAGGCTCCTCTGTCCATGGGATTCTCCAGGCAAGAATACTGGAGGGCAATGCCCACCAGGGAAGTCCAGGACATTTTATTTAATTCAGAGAGTTTGACAGCCTGGAGCTTTTGGCCTTCCCAAGTATTTATCGACTCAAAGGGTTTTTCCCTGGGAATACCAGCCACCAAAGGACCTTCCCCTCCTAATGACCCTCACCACATCCTAACCCTATCCCCAAGGCCCTCCCTTTTTGACCCCATCTTTGACTTCATCCCTAACCTTCACCCCATCCCTGACCCTCAGCCCTGCCTTGACCCCACTTTTCAGCTTCAATAACAGAGCCTATGGTATCCCCATTGCATGAATTGTTCAGGACCAAGGTTCTAATGGTCTGATTTGAAGCAGAGGCCCCACTCTTGTTGCCAGGAAGTCAGATGTCCAGTGAGGAGAAGACAGAATGTGGGGTGACTTGGGCCCCAAATATGACGTCCAAACATTGGTGAGGACAAGGGGGCAGCCGCTAACCATCCAGAGTCAGAGAGGTGGCTACTGAAACCACAGTAGCCATAGCTGGGAGCCCTGGGAGGAGGGGGAACCCCAGAGGTGACATCACAGCTCAGGGAGGAACAAGGTAACAGGCAGTTTCCCAGTTTGGAAATCACTCACAGGCTCCGGGCAAGAGTGCCAGAAAATTCAGAGATTTCCCCGAGACCCGCTTCCACATTTCCATTCAGAAATTCACTTACGTACATGCACAGCGAGAGACACCCAGCATCAGAACCACCCATCCACGGCTGTGTGCCAGGAGTTGGCTGCTCCGGGACCAAGCAGAGAGGACAGCAAGAAACAGTATCCTCTGAACTGGCCAAAGTCCAAAGGGGGAATTTTCTAGAAAGACATGAGGATGTCACAGAACAAGGGTCAGAATTGCTAGTGGGCCAGGTGGGGACCCTGGCTAGGATGAACAGGACTGGGGACGAGGAAGTCTCACAAGGTTTATATCTGAGCACAGCGCCGTCTGGGTCTCTCTGTCACCTCTTGATTCTCTCACACCTTCCCCTCTATCCTGTGTTTCTGTATCTTTGCATCTTTTTTGTTTTCTCTTTCTCCCCATCTCCCAGTGACTATCTCTGAGAGTGAATTTATCTCCATTCCTCTGTCATTCGTCTCTCCCATGTCTCTCCCCTCTATGTTCGTCCCTGACTGTTATCACCTCCAGACATGATGCTATTCTCTGTATTGCTCTTTTAGTGGTCTGTTTCCTTCCACTAGAAGTGGGCTTCATGAAGGCCGGGATTTTTGTCCATATTGCTTTCTGCTGTGTCCCCTGTGCCTGGAATACTGCCTGGTTCAACAAGTATCTGTGGAACGATAACTGAATGAACTGTCATTCTCATCTAAGTGAGGATATTAATAATCAATGCCATCAGTATTATTTTACAATAACTGTAAAGCAACTGTGATCACGGCTGTTTACTGAGTACAAAATATATATCAGAAATTGGACCAAGTGTTGTAGAGAAGAAGCCAATTCGAACTCCATGTTGGAACTGTTTCTTTGACTTGCTTTTTGTTGCTTTTGTTATTATAATCATACAGGATGGCCGACCTCAGAGAATCCTGCCCCTCTGCCTGACTGTTAAATTAAGGGTTTAATTTAATTAATTGTAAGGGTTTGGTCCACCTATCCATGGCAGGAGGAAATGAACACATTCCCTGCCTCAGGCTTGCTATTCTGGGAGATGTTTGCAAGATTAATGGCTTTTTTACTTTGCCTCCTCAACTCCTACCATCTCTGATCTATAAAAGAACCTGGCACCCAGACCCCATAAGATGGTTATTTTGAGGCACTAGCCTGTCATCTTACTCAGGAGAGAAACCGAATAAAATCTCTTCCTTGCCTCAATCCCTCATCTGATTCATTGGCCTGTCTGGCAGGGAGCAGAACCAGCTTGGACTCGGTAACATAAGCAGTTGCATGTTTAAGTCTTTACAAACAGACTGGGTATTGTTATCCTGTCCATTATTCAGATGAGAAAACTGAAGCCCCAAAAGGAGAGGCAACTTGCCCAATGTGACCCCAGGGGTGGCAGCTTTGGGGGTTAGGAACGCAGGATCTGTCCCCATGATAGACTCGAATCCCTGCTCTGTCCCTCGCCAACCCTGAACTTTAGAAAGTCGCTGAACGTCTTTGCCAGCGCCTCCGTTTCCTCGGGGCTCAGCGGTAAAGAACCAGCCTGCAGCGCAGGAGGAAACCCCAGTTGGATCCCCGGGTGGGGAAGACCCCCTGGAGAAGGAAATGGCTACTCGCCGCAGTACTTCTTGCCTGGGAAATCCCATGGACAGAGAGAAGCCTGGCGGGCCACAGTCCGTGGGGTCACCAAGAGTAGGACACGACTCAGCGACTGAAGCAACCACACATCCGAACCCGAGTCCTAGGGGAGTCACCGTCGTAGGTGACGTCAGTGGGGTGTAGCGAGGGGGCGGAGGGAGGGGCAGTGCCCTGCGCCTCCGTGGGCGCCGGGGGAGCCAGACAGGTACCTGCGAGGGCGCCCATTTCTACTTCTTCCTCGCTGCTAGTCCGAGGAGGTCCTCCCCGAGGCTGCGGCGGCTGAGTGAGGCCGGGATTCCTGCCCAGAAGGTGCGGAATCAGCACCAGCCGCGCCCGGGCGGCTGGCAGAGCGTGCGGACTCCCGGCTCGAGCGGAGGAGGCCGGGCGCGTCCTGCCCAGCGGTGCCGAGAGGAAGCCGGCATGGCCTCTACTTTTCTCTTCACTCGGCGGCGGCTGCTGCTGCAGTTCCTGCTGCGGTTGTTCTGGGCGCCCCTGGGAGCCGGTGAGTGACCCCTCGCGATCAGGCGACCCCCGTTCCCCCTCTCCCTCCCCACAGGCCCGGGCGCTCGCCCCACCCTAAGTTGCTCGCTGCCTTTCGCCGCCCGCCCGCTCCCCTCCGCCCCAGTGATGCAGGAACGCCGGGCCTGGGCCAGACTCTGCTGATAGCTTCCCGGAAAACCGCCGGACTTCGGGAGATTTCTGAAGGGCAGGGCGGGCAGGCCTCCGGGGAAAAATAAGGCGGAAGGTGAACTTTCTCCGTGCCACACCTGCCCGGACAGCACACCCGCGCACCTGCTCGGCAAATGAGCGCACCCTTCTCCCCAGCCCGCAACAGCCAGCTCACAGCCCCCGAGGATGCTTGATGAGGGGAAGGAGGGCAGCAGCAGATAACCCCGTTCTCTCGTTCCCCTTCGACCGCGTCTGGCTCTAGGCCGCGGCCATTCATTCATTCATTCATTCTCGCATTCATCCCACACACATTTATTGAGTGCCTACTGTGGGCCGCGTTCCGCTTACTGGGAGTATAGCTCTGACGTCAGACAGCGGTGAGTTCAAAATAGCTTTTGGCATTTAACGCCTGTGTGAGCTCAGGAAAATGACCTGAGCTCCCTGTTTCCCTGAAATGTCTGCTAGGGGCTGGGAGGAGGAAGGAGAGGAGAGTGGAATCCCACCTACCTTGTAAGATGGTGTCTTGGAAACACCCTGAGCTAGATGCACTGAAGAAAAACAATAATGACTGTGATGACTCACATGAACAGTAATAATACTGAACACAGACTCGAGGAGACCAGAGTCTCCTCATTTCTCAGAAGGTCTCAACCCAGGCCCTGCTCCTCGCTTGCTGGTTTACCCAGGCAGGTAGCTTGACCATGCAAGGCTCACTTGACCCCTCTGTCCAATGAGGGTGAAAATCCTAGTGCTAGGAGTGCAGATCTCATGGACCTTGGAGAGGGTTGGAGGACTGGCCCACAGTGAAATTTGGGCCTGGCTATGACATAGGGTATAAACCTAGAGAAAGGCCACTTCACCCAGTGTCATCCTCACAGAGGTCTTACCATCAGAGAAGGAGACACGCTTGCCCAGAGCTGCACAGCACATCCATGGATAAGCTGGCATTCGATCCGAGACTAGGGTCCTTAGCTCACCACTCAGTCGCCTCGTGTCCAGACCATGTTCCCCCTCCACACGCCTTGCTCCAAGCACCCCAGTCCACTATGTCCTGACCTCCTCTTCCTCATAGCAATAATTATAATATTCACCAGTATAGAGTGCTTGGCATATGTCTTTACATAAATTTCATCATTTAGTCCTCCCAACTCCCTCTGAAGTTACAACCACCCCCATTTTACAGATGAGAAGATGGAGGCTCAGAGGAGTGAAACCACGGGCACAAAGGCCACAGTTTGTGAGTGAAAGGACTGACATTCAAAGCACTTAACTCCTTCTTGCCTTCTCCTTTATCCCTATTATTATTAATGAGGATGTTTATTAATTATGTTTATCAATATGGATAAAAGTCAACACATATTGAGGATCTAGTCTGTGCTGAGACTCCAGGGAGAATGATTTTCATATGGAGTCTGTTGATTAGAGATCAGGAGTCTTGATTGAAGATGGCCCAGGTTCAAATCCCACCTTTGCCATTTGCCCTCAGCGTGACCTGCAGCAAAAGACTCTGTGCTTTGGATCTCCCCTCTATAAAGTGGGGCTGACAGTGGTGCTTTGCCTCAATATGCTGCTTAAGTACTAAATGCTGGGAGATGTGTGAAGCACTTTGAACAGCTCCTAATCTGTGTAAGCAACCCCAGAATGTTAGCTGTAATTAGTCCTATTTTACAAACTAGCAGTAAAGAATCAGAGATGTTAAGGAATCTGCCTGAGGCCCTCACAGCAGAGAGCTGAGGGGATCCAAAACCTTGGGGCTATAATCACCTCCCTTCTTTTTAAAAAAAAACATTTTTTAAAAAATGTGGACACTTTTTAATGGTCTTTATTGAATTTGTTGCAATCCTGCTTCACTTTTATGTTTTGGCTTTTTGGCTGTAAGGCATGTGGGATCTTAGCTTCCTGACTAGGGATCAAACCTGTGCCTCCTGCATTGGAAGTCTTAACTACAAGACCACCAGGGAAGTCCCATCAACTCCCTTCTCATGCTTGGACCCCCTACAAACATTTTCCTAACCCAAGGCCACAAAGAGTAATAATACTACTTTATTTCATGGATCCTAAAGCGTTGAATTTCTTCCCCCTTGTGTGTGTGTGTGTGTGTGTGTGTGTGTGCGCGCGCGCACGCATACTCAGTCATGTCCAACTCTTTGTGATGCCGTGAACTGTAGCCTACTAGGCTCCTCTTCCAGGGAATTTTCCAGGCAAGAATGCTGGAGCAGGTTGCCTTTTCCTACTTCAGGTGATCTTCCCCACCCAGGGATTGAACCAGCATCTCCTGCATTGGCAGGTGGATTCTTTACCACTGAGCCACCTGAGAACCCCTTCCTCCCCTTCCCATACCTCTAAATCGGAAATGCTCTAAGAGCATCCCAGTGCATCTTAAAATTGATGACTGGAGTTAACAGAAAACTTTTGGAACTAGATAGTGATGCTGTCTGCACAACATCATGAATGTACTTAATTGCCACTGGATTATATGTTCTAAAGTAGTTTAAGAGGCAAATTAAATTTTTTAACCACAACACAGACCGCAATTTTAAAAAATGACGATGCTGATATACGGTAGAGATAGAGGATATACGGTAATAACAACCCAATTGTTGGGGGGGGGGGCAGGGAACAGGACCCAGTTGCAGACCCAGTCCAGCCCCCATCTTATCCTCACCCCTGGACCAGGACTGGTGCTCCGCATCCCCATTCCCCTCAACACACAGACACCCAAGGGGCTCCAAGCTCCAGGAGCCCCCTACCCCATCCAGATCAGGGACACTCAGATGTGACCCACCCTGTGTTTCCCCGCAGGGATCAAGATAATCACAGTGCAGGCCCCACTCCAGGTGTCCGGCTTCCTGGGAGAAACCGTGATACTTTCATGCCAACTATACCCCCTGGAACACGATGTGACGGTGACGCAAGTGACCTGGACAAAACAGAGACAGGCAGAGCTCGCCCGCAGTGTGGCGGTCTTCCACCCTGCCCAGGGCCCCAGCTTCCACGAGTCCAGCCGGTTGGAATTCATGGCCGCCAAGCCCGGTGAGAAGCTGTGGGACGCCTCGCTGGTTGTGCGGGAGTTGCGCGTGGAAGATGAAGCTAATTACACCTGCCAGTTCGCCACGTTCCCTAATGGTGACAAGAGCGCTCGAACCCTGCTCCGTGTGCTCGGTGAGCTGGGAGGAGGGAGGAGCCGAAAGGGAGGGATGTGGAGTGGGGTAGGGAGGTAAGCAAATAGAGGGAAGGGCCCAGGAGGGAGGGAGAAATTCCGAGGGAAACAAGAAGGAGGTAGGGCAATGACCCTGCGGGATTCAGGGGAGGTCCAGGGATGTAAGATCTTGGAGGCTGTGGGCCAAGGGGATTGGAGGGTCTGGGGATGCTGGTGGTATAGGGGAGAGTGGCTGATGCAAGAAGTAGGTGGGGACAGAGACTGGCCTGGGAAGCTGGGAAGCCACTGCCAGCTTGGGCAGGTGGATTCATCTTGAAACCTGCTTTCTTCATCTGTAAAAGAGGCTTAGTAACAACAGTGCTGCCTTCAGAAAGCTATCCTGAGGGTCCAAAGCAGTTCATCCAGGTGGACCGCTTAGAGCAGAGACCTATGTGGGCTGGGGATAGTGGGTCAGTTACTGTTACCCCTTTGGTGAGGAAGTGAGTGAGTAACTGCTTAGTCGTGTCCGACTCTTTGTGACCCCAGGAACTGCAGCCCACCAGGCTCCTCCCTGTGGGATTTCCCAGGCAAGAGTACTGGAGTGGGTGGCCATTTCCTGCTCCAGGGCATTTTCCCAGCCCAGGGATAGAACCCATGTCTCCTGTCTCATGCATTGCAGGCTGGTTCTTTACCCACTGAGCCACAGGGAAAGTTGAAATAGACTGGGAGGGGAAGATTCTGATATCCAGGAGTGGAGGGCTTTCTCCAACGAGGGGTTGGGAGGGGAGAGCATGCCGTTGGCATTGTCATGGAAACATGCGTTCATTTTTATGAGTACCAGAGAAAATATGACAGGCCTTCCTCTTGGCAACTGAGTACGAAGTCTCTTTGCCTGTTTTCTCATCTGTGAAATGGAGATCGCTATGAGGATGAATAAGAACTTCCTTATTTGCTTCTTTTTTGTTGTTGTTTCTTTTTTGCTTCTGTGTCAGGAACTGTTCTGGGTCTTGTATGAATGACTCACCATTCTCCAGGGGATCTTCTCAATGCAGGGATGGAACCTGGGTTCCCTGCATTGCAGGCAGATTCTTTACCATCTGAGCCACCAGGGGAGCTCACTATCACTTTCTGTGTCAGGAACTGTCCCGGATCTTGCATGAATGACTCATGAAAGGTTAATTCCTTGGAACAGTGCCTGACACATGCCCCCAACCAAAGGCATCTTTCATCATTTCAGAAAACTTAAGACCTCAAGTCTTATGATTTAGGATGAGAGTAAAACAGAACTGGTGAGTCAAATTAAAGAGAAATCTTGGGTAACAAGAACACAGGTACCGAGGGAAAAGGAACCACTTGAAATCCCAGGTCTGGGAATCACCAGAAAGATGAAGAAACGGGCAAGGTAGTTTTGGAGTCAGACAGACCTTGTGGGAAGACCCAGTTCTGTCATTTACGACTATGGAACCTTGAGCCAGTCACTCTTGCCTGAATCTCCATAGCACAGCTCAGCCCTCCCCTCCTCCATGCAGCCCTCAGTAACCCCCTCCCCCGGAGATTCAGGCACCCCTTCCGGGATCCCCCATCCCAGCCTTGCCCAGCCTGAGTCATCACTGTCTGGGGAAATCCGTCTTCCCTTCCACAGTCCACCCCATGAAGTCAGGGATAGAGCTGTCTCAGTCCTTCCTGAGACTTCAATACTGCCCATCACAGAGCCAGGCACAGTATTCAATTACCAATCATAATTACATATATTGAGCACTTATTACCTGCCAAGTACCGTTTTGAGAGCTTTACCTATAAATTCTCATCGCTGGTCATCCTCCGCTTATCCCCAGTTGACAGACAAGGAAACTGAGGCACGGACTTGCCCAAGGCCACCCTGAGGCTGGGGCAGAGCAGGGATTTGAACATGGCCACATCTGGTATCCTCATCTCGGCACTCCCCTGCTGCTGAGATGTTTATTGCATGACTGTTGGTGAGGCGTAATCTGTGTCTTGCTCCTCTTCTCAGCCAAGCCCCAGAACAAGGCTGAGACCCTGGACATCTCGCTCAGCCCGAACCCTGTGCCGGTGGCCCGCTGCGTCTCCGTAGGAGGTCACCCACCTGCCCGCATCTCCTGGTCCTCAGATGGAAAGACCAATACCACCCAGGTGCCAGGGCCCCTGCCCGGCACCGTCACCATCATCAGCCTCTTAATCTTAACACCTTCCAGCCAGATGGACGGCAGAAACGTCACCTGCAGAGTGGAGCACGAGAGCTTTGAGGAGCCCGTGGTGCTTCCCATAACCCTGGCTGTGTCTGGTGAGTGGGTCTAAGCGTGAGCAAGGACGGGAGGGGCTGCCAGACTGTCTCCATCCTCCCCCTGCCATTGGCCAGCTGTCTCCACCCTCTTCCTGCCATTGGCCAAGTGTGTCCACCCTCTCCCTGCCATTGGACAGCTGTCTGCACCCTCCCCCTGCCATTGGCCAGCTGTCTCCACCCTCCCCCTGCCATTGGACAACTGTCTCCACCCTCCCACTACACTGACTCCGAGGGGCACTTTCAACATTACATCATTTCATCATCAGAGCTGGCTCTCTGACTCTTGCCTTAACACCCATCCCCACATCATCTACACCGACTCCCCTGGGCCACAGATAACCCTGTCCTTCATTGTCTATATCAGCTTCTTTTTTTTTTTTTCCTTTTGGCCTTACCACAGGGCATGTGGGATCCCTGTGCCTGCGTGCATGCTGTCACTTCAGTCGTGTCCAACTCTTTGCGACCCCATGCACTGTTCCAGGGTCTTCTGTCCATGGGATTCTCCAGGCAAGAATACTAGAGTGGGTTGCCATGGCCTTCTCCAGGGGATCTTCCCCATCCAGGGAATGAACCCAAGACTCTTATGTTTCCTGCATTGGCAGATGGGTTCTTCACCCACTAGCACCACGTGGGAAGCCCCTTAGTTCCCTGACCAGGGGTCAAACCCATGCCCCGTGCAATGGAAGCGCTGAGTCTTAAACACTGGACTGCTAGGGAAGGACTCTGCCAGCTTCTTATACCACAGTTTACACTGCTCCCTGGGGGCCGCTGTCTACACGGACACCCCACGTACACTCTCTTGAGCCCGCACACAGTGCCTACACCCTCTTCCCTGGGCAACTGTCCGCAATGACCTTGTGCACACTGCTACACTGCTTCCCCACCATCAATACCAACTCCCTTGTGTTTCCTACGCTGCCATAATATCGTCTGGGCTTCCCAGGTGGTGCTACTGGTAAAGAATCTGCCTGCCAATGCAGGAGATGCAGGTTTGATCCCTGGGTCGGGAAGATCCCCTGGAGGAGGAAATGACCACCCACTCCAGTATTCTTAGAAAATTCCACAGACAAGAGGAGGCTGGTGGGCTACAGTCCCTGGTATCGCAAAGAATTGGATGCTACTGAGCACACACACACACTATTGTCTACACTGGCTCCTAAGGGCCCCAGACAGCATTGCCCTCACTGTCTACACCGCTCCTTTAGGCCACCAGCTGAAGGCAGTTGGCAGTTGACCACTGCTGCCTTGACACCCTGCATTTTCTACTCAAGTTCTCCTAGATACTCTCTCACACCGACCCACAACATTGTCTACACTGGCTGTCCTGGAGAACTGCCTACATTGTCCCCACCCCCACCCCCCGTGTAGTCTACATTCCCCTTTGCTCCACTGTTGTCTGCACTGGCTCATCTACAGACTGGGTCCTCCCATCACTGTCTGGACTGACTACTCCCTGCCTGACAGTTGCTGCACTGTCTACACCCAACCCCCTCAACTGGATCTGAGTGAGGACGGTGTCTATACTGACTCCTTCCCAACACACATACAAAAACACCCTGTCTCACTGGCCTTCCCCCTGGAGACTTTAAAAATCTTCCCTGTTGATCACATTTGGGTTGGGTAAGACGCAGACTGAAATGCGGTCATCCAGGATTCTCTTCTGCAGGACTTGTCAGAGCCTTGAATATGCTCACGTGTGTTATGAACACCCAGAAGGAGGCTTTTTCTCACAGGACGTCCCAGGCATGCCAGGACCTGGCTTTATAGGGAAAACCAATAGAGAAGCAGGTCCTGAGAAGCGCTCTCTGTTACCCCCATCCTAGCACCCTGCTGAGGACTCCCAGGCTTCTATTCTTGGGGCAGAAGCTGGAACCCATTGCCCAGACCCCTCCCAGGCCTCTCCATTGTGAGCTGTTCCCCAAACCCGCCAAGGCCCTCTTCCTGTTGTGACATGAATCCCAGCTATCTTTGGACCCCTTGAAGGCTCCCTGTCTCCGAGCCTGTGTGTCTGTTTCCCCCAGCCCCCCCCGAGGTTTCCATATCCGGCTATGATGACAACTGGTACATCGGCCGTAGAGAGGTTGCCCTGAACTGTGACGTCCGCAGCAAACCAGAGCCCACAGGCTACAACTGGAGCACGTGAGTTCCTGGGTCAGAGGAAGGAGGGGCTGGGGGCCTGGACTCCAGGGTCTGAGGGAGGAGGGGTATAGGCAGGAAAGTTAAAAACAAAACAAGAAGTCAACTGTGGGCCCCCAGGAAAATATCTTGTATGCACAGAGTTAATGAGGTGATAAAGTCCAGGTTTATCACCTGCCCTTTATGGGGTGCCTGCTGTGTGCCAGGTACTTTCCTGTACCCCACGTGATCCCCACTCTCTGGCCACAGTTTGCACTATTGCCAGGCCCAGGTTAAAGATCTGCCCAGGAGCTCTATACACGGGTATAGAGGTGACTGTCCTGTCGGCGTCTGGCTCCAAACCCAGTCCTCTTAAGCCCTGGGCTGTGCCACCTCCCCAGCCACCTTGTGTGACCTGCTCAGTGACCTCTTACAGAGCAAATACTGTCCCGTCCCCAATCTCATTTTTTAAAAAATATCTATTATTTGGCTGCATCGGGTCTTAGTTGCGGCACGTGGGATCTTGGTTGTGGCACACAGACGCTCTAGTTGTGGCATGCATGTCAGCAGTCGCAGCACACAGGCTCAGTTGCCCCAAGGCATGTGGAATCTTAGTTCCCCAAGTGAAAATCGCTCAGTCGTGTCTGACTCTCTGCGACCCCATGGACTATACAGTCCGTGGAATTCTCCAGGCCAGAATACCAGAGTGTGTAGACTTTCCCTTCTCCAGGGGATCTTCTCAACCCAGGGATCGAACCCATGTCTCCCGCATTGTGGGCTGATTCTTTACCAACTGAGCCACAGGGGAAGCCCAAGAATGCTGGAGTGGGTAACCTATTCCTTCTCCAGGGGATCTTCCCAACCCAGGAATCGAACCTGGGCCTCCTGCACTGCAGGCAGATTCTTTACCAACTAAGCTACCAAAATTCTTTACCAACTGAGCTACCAGGGATCAAACCCACATTGCAAGGCAGATTCTTAACCACTGGAAGCTACCACCAGGGAAGTAGCCCCCTCCTGATTTTCTTGATTGAGGAGCAGAGCAATCAAAAAACTTCCTCAAATTCCTATTGAGACCAAGGATAAGAGTGGGGAAAGATAAAGGCAAAGGGGTGAATGATTTAACCTAATTTTTATTGGGCCCAGTTTTTCTTATTACAGAAATAACTTTTGAGCACTGTAGAAACTCTAGGCAATATGGTTATGAGTAAAAAGAAGAAAATAGCTCCGATAGTCCTGTACCCAGTCATCTCCAGAAACATCACTCTTTGTTGTATATCCTTCCTGTCCTTCTTTCAATATTTTTTTTTCTTTCAATATTTCTAAAAAAAAAGAGAGAAAGAAAACTGTGCTGTATGTATAATTTTGAAAACTTTCCTCTGTCCATGAATACATTTCTTTCATTTTTGTTTCGTCTTTGCCACACCTCACAGCATATCTGATCTCAGTTCCCTGACCAGGGATGAGACCCATGCTCCTTTGCAGTGGAAGCTCAGAGTCTTAACTGCTGGGCCACCAGGAAAGTCCCTCTCGTGAACACCTTTCCAAGTCAGAGCACATAGATCTATTTTCCCCCAGCATATTATCAAGAAATGTTTTAAGCCTACAGAAGTCTTATAAGCATTTTCCAGTAAACATTCAAAAGCCCACTATGTGGATTCTCTCACTAACATTTTCCTGGACTTGCTTTATCACATTCCTGCCCTTCAGTCCATCCCTCTTGCCAGCTATCCAACAGTCCTCATCATTTATGCATTTCAAAACCCCACCACCTGCTTCTTTGAGGGGCTAGGACTCTGTTACAAGTGAGGCTGTCAATGATATAACCAGTCCCACCTGGGGATACAGAGGTGCTTTCCCGTTCTCAACTATGCAAATGTCGTGGTGGCGGACATCCCCGTCTGTCCACCTCTGTGGATAGCCAGTCACATCTCAATGGTTGGCCAGCGGAGCTGCCAATCAAAGGTTTTCGATTGGTATTGACAGCTGGCCTTTACCTTCCTGTCTCAAAGCACCGCAATTCAGGCTCACGAACCATACAGCCAGTTTTCCATGCCAGCCCTGCAGAATACCCAAACCCATGCCCTGGTCTCCTCTGTCCCTTAAACCAGTGTTTCTTTCTTTCTTTTTAAATATTTATCTATTTATTTGGCTGCACCAGGTTTTAGTTGTGCCATGTGGGATCTAGTTCCCTGACCAGGGATCAAACGTGGGCCCCCTGAACTGGGAAGGCGGAGTCTTAGCCACTGGACCACCAGGGAAGTCCCTAAACCAACGTTTCTTGACTACTTACTGTGTGTCGGATGCTACTGACGCAGGTGCTGCATGCTAAGTCACTTCAGTCATGTCCGACTTTTTGTGACCCCATGTACTGTAGCCCACCAGGCTTCTCTGTCCGTGGGATTCTCCAGGCAAGAATACTGGAGTGGATTGCCATTCCCTCCTCCAGGGGATCTTCCCCACCCAAGGACAGAATTCGCACCTCTTATGACTCCTGCATTGGCAGGTGGGTTCTTTACCACTAGCACCACCCACAGGCTTCAGTAAATGAAAAAGAACCAAATTTCCCCCTCTCGGATCTCCAGATCTGGGGAGAGAAACAAACAAGGTAATGTCAGAATTCCTTGGTGGGTCACAAGTTATGTTTCCACACTTTCACTGCCAAGGGCCCCTGGAGTTCAATCACAGGTCAGGGAACGAAGATCCCACAAGCTTTAGGACATGGCCAAAATTAAAAAAAACTTTTTTTTAATTTAAAGAAAAATAAACAAGATACCATTTTTAAGGATGGCGTGTGTCAGGTGGTGATAAGTGCCGTGGGAAAGATCATGCAGAGGAGGTGGGGGGGTCGCTACAGTTGAAAGAGGGTAACCAAGGAAGGTGTCACAAAGGTGATGGCTGAGTAGAGGACTGAAGGAGGTGAGAGTGAGCAGTTTGGGTACCAATGGGAAGGGCATTCCAGGCATAGGGAACAGCATATGCAAAGACCCTGAGGTGGGAACATAACTAAAGTGTTCCAGGGTCAACAAGTCAGCCACCATGGACGTAGAGGCAGGAGCAAAGGGGTCAGTGCGTCAGGGGGCCAGTTTGTGTGGGACCTGTGCCCGTGGTCAGGACTTTTCCTTTACGGAAGGGCTCTGGACAGAGCGCTGAAGAACTGATGCTTTTGAAGTGTGGTGCAGGTGAAGACTCTTGAGAGTCCCTTGGACTGCAAGGAGATCAAACCAGTCCATCCTACAGGAAATCAACCCTGAATATTCATTGGAAGGACTGATGCTGAAGCTGAAGCTCCAATACTTTGGCCACCTGATGCAAAGAGCCGACTCATTGGAAAAGACCCTGATGCTGGGAAAGATTGTAGGCAGGAGGAGCAGAGGGCAGCAGAAGATGCGATGGTTAGATAGCATCATCGACTCAATGGACATGAATTTGAGCAAACTCCGGGAGATAGTGAGGGACAGGGGAGCCTGGAGGGCTACAGTCCACAGGGTCGCAGAGAGTCGGACACGACTTAGCAACTGCACAACAACTGGGCAGAGGAGAGACTTTGGTTATGTTCTTTTGTTTTTAACGTTTATTTTTGGTCGAGTTGCGTCTTAGTTGCTGCACACGGGACCTTCCTTGCAGCGCGTGGGCCTCTCTCCAGTCATGGTGCGCAGGCTCCAGAGTCCATGGACTCTGTGGTTTGCACAGACAGGTTCTCTAGCAGAGGCGCCTGGGCTCAGTAGTTGTGACTTGCAAGCTTAGTTGCCCCTGAGCATGTGAGATCCCAGTTCCCCAACCAGGGATCGAGCTCACGTCCCCTGGATTGATTGGCAGGCAGATTCCTAACCACTGGACCACCAGGCAAGTCCATCTGTGCAGATTTTGAACGTGGGGCAGACAGGGTTTGCTGATAGGCTGGATGGGAGTGTGAGCGGCAGAGTTGGGGGAACTCCAGGCTTGCTCTGAACTTGTATTATAGATGGCGTGAGAGTTGCTATACAGTGAGTGCCCCAACACCGGTTACTCTAGGCCTCCGACTGAGACCACTTCCTCACCCATCTGTCTCTCCTAGGACCAACGGAACCCTGCCACCCTCTGCTGTGGCCCAGGGCACTCAGCTCCTGATTCATACTGTGGACGAGACCATCAATGCGACTTTCATCTGCCTTGTCACCAATGCCCTAGGGACCAGCCAGGCAAACGTGACCGTCCTGCTCAGAGGTGAGGAGCCCCCTAGGTGGGTAGAAGGGAGGAACTTAGGATGGATATTAAAGAGGATATCAAAGTAGGATTCCCTCTGAGGGAGGGGTTTAGAGGTGGTCCCTGGTTAAAGGAGTCCCTCAACCACAAGAATGCTCCCAAGCTCCCATTGTTTCCCTAAGCCCCTTCATGGAAGGTTCAACGGGCTCAGCTTTACTGTCCGTTAACTCACCATCTGAACCATTGAAACCACGGTACAGCCCCCCAGGCACAGCCGCTCTGCAAACCCAGGCTGGGGTAGTTGCATAATGCCTCTTCCCAATGGACTCAGGCAGGCTTTCCCAAGTATATTAGACAGACTCTGTCATTTGCAATTGATAGAAGCACAACTCAAAATAGCCCAGGCAAAAATGGGACTTTATTAGAAATTCACCTTCAGGTATGATTAGATCCAAGTGCTCCAACTATGTAATCCAGGAACTTTTCTTGACCTCTATTGTCTCTGCTTTTCTTTTGCTGGCTTTATTCCCTGGCGGGCTTTCCTCTCAGGAAGGTAAGATGATCCCCAGCAGTTTATAGGCTCACAGCCCACCAGTTTAGTAATCCCAAGAGAAAGAATACACCACTTTCAGTAGCTCTAGCCAGAGTCCAAAGGCTGGCTCTCATTGACTCAACTTAGGTCACAGTCTACCCCCACCTCAAGTACCAGTTGCAGCAGCCGGAGAGAATGGAATGTTCTGATTGGCCAGGCCCAGGTCAAAGTCCCATCCTCCGGCATCTACACACTGCTCTATTTAAAATGGATAACCAAGGACCTACTATATAGCAGGTGGAACTCTGTTCAATGTTATGCGGCAACCTGGACAGGAGGGGTGTTTGGGGGAGAATGGATACATATATATGTATAGCTGAGTCCCTTCACTGTTCATCTGAAATTAACACATCATTTGTTAACCGGCTGTACCCCAACACATAATAAAAAATTTAAAAAAAAGAAAACCCAAGTCCCACCCTAGGAACCAGAGGGTGGATTGAAGCTCAGCTAAACCATATAGACTGAGGGAGGCAGAGCGGTAGCCTCCTTCAAAAGTGAAGTCTAATATTTTGGGGGGCAGGTGAAACCCCCCCCGAAAAGTCTCTCAGCTTAAATCTCTGCTTCCTTCTCTTCTGGCAGAAAGTCCTAGGGAGCAGCCACACGAGGGTTCGTCCTCTATGACTGTTATCATCGTGGCCTCGGTAATCCTGTTGGTTGTCATGCTGGTGTTGCTGATTTGTTACTGCTGGCACAGAAAGTCCCGTGAGTCCCCTCTTTTTTGACATATCCCCCGCCTGCCTGCTGTAAATGAACGTTAAGCACCTGTTATGAGCCTACAAGCTCTGTACTAAGCCTTCCACGTGACAACCTCTCTCTGAACCCTCACGCCCACACCATGAGGTTCCCCCGTTGGACAGATAGGGACACTGAGACCAGGGAGTTTTATTCATTGGATCACTGATTCATTTTTACAAAGTGGGAGCAGCTCCTGTACACAGTAAGGACTTGGCTTTCAATCCAGGTGATGTAGAAGCTCCTGCCAAAGGGATGCAGTGTAGAATAACACTTAACCCCCTCACCCCCACTTTCCCTCATCTGCCTTGCTCAGGACTGGCTCCCTGAAAGGAGGGCTTGCCCCAATCCCTGGCTCCAAAAGGTGCCCAGATCCCAGCTCAAGGGCTTCGCAAGGCTGTTCCCCTGCCTGGAGCCCCCTTCCCCATGGCTCCCTCTGGCAAAGTCCTGTGGCTAATTCTGTAATCAAAAGAGCTACGTTTTGCTGAGCACTTTCTCTGTGCCAGGCACTTCTTGGGCACAGCCCCCTTGAATGCTCACCACCACCCTGTAAAGAGAGTCCCTCTGTGAGCCCATTTCACAGATGAGGAAACATTTTTTCAGAGAGGTGACATTACCTGCCAGCTGGCACACAGCTGGAAAGTCAAGAGTTGAAGGTAGATCTGTTGGTTACAAAGTTTTATTCGTTCAACTACTAAACAAAAAGGCCTCCTCGCATCCCACTGGGGAGCCCTCTCCTCCAGGGAGCCCTCCCTGATCTTCCCCTGAAATGAACCAAGCACCTGCTCTGGTCTTCCCCACCCCCACCCCTTGCCCACTCAGGGGCATCATGGTGTGGGGACTTGTCTGTCTCTCCAGTGGACTGGGAAACCCAAGAGCACAGAGCTAGAGCTGTCAGTCATGGCTGTGTCCCCAGCACCACCTACCACTGGATCAGGCACAAAAGAGGCATTTGAGGATATGTTTGCTGAATGCATCACATCCAGAGCCAGACTGCCTATGCCTGAGCCCACAGGAGTCACCGTGGGCAAAAGCCTTACTATGACTCAGTTTCCTCATCTGTGAAATGGGCATGTCCATACCTGTTAATGTAGACCCAGCACTTACCATAGCATTTGGCACATTGTAAGCCACACACTGGGTATTTTTGTCTGTTTTGTTTACCTCTCTATCCCCAGCACCCAGAATGCATCTGGCACAAAGTAGACATTTGCTATTTGCTGAATAAATCCTTGTTGAATGGTTGAGGAAACTGAGGCACAGAGAGGTTAAGTCAATTGCCCATGGTCACACAGCTCCTAAAGGACTGGGATTTGAACTCTTCTGTCTGGTTCCAGAGCCAATGCTCAATAAAGATTTATGTGTACTTAATAACTGAAGGAATAACGAGATGAAGCCTATACCCCAGCTGTGTTTTTAAATGTAGAAACCATTTTGGGACATGACTCCCCCATGTCAATAGCAGAGCCGGGACTTAGAATTCAAGGGGCCTGGTCCCCCACGTGTGTCTTCTTCCCATGCTTTCCAGCATTGCCATTCACTTCTGATCACTTCTCCTCCTGTCTCCTCAGGTCAGAACCAGTACAGTCCCTCTACTAATGGGGTAAGTATGGTGGTGGAGCTGAGGAGGCAGTGGGGGTCTGCACGAGCCCCAGATTAATCGCCGTGGGCTTTCCCAAGAAAGGGCCAGGCATCTCTGTGCACCCATAGCACTTAACCGGGGAATCTGCATTTTCAGATCTCCCCTTTCCTTCCTGTTCCTGACCATACCTGGAGAAGTGCTGCCCTGGCTTCCAGGGTTGGGAAAGGAGCAGGCCTGCAGCTCTCTGCATGCTGGGCTTCGGCAGGAAGAATTTTTGTTATAAGGGCTTGAGGCTAAAGTTAGGAGAGAGGATGAGATGGTTGGCATCATGGACATGAGTTTGAGCAGACTCCAGGAGATAGTGAAGGACAGGGAAGCCTGGTGTGCTGCAGTCCATGGGGTTGCAAAGAGTTGGATACAACTGAGCAACTGAACAAGAGGCTAAAATTTGCATATTTCCCTAGATGGTCAGATATTCAGCTGTTGGCAGCAATTCCCAGGATCCACCAACAGAGGGCACCAGGTGACAGCATGGACACTGGATGGTGAGCCTGGAGCTAGTGAGGACCTAGATCTTCCAGCTGGACTCCCTCCCCTGCCTCATTGGAGGGAGTCTCCCTCCAAAGACACTGGCCACCCTTCCCCAGCCAGACCTCAAGGATGCCCCCTCTGCCTCACAGCATGGTGACCCAGGCGGAGGGCAAGTTCAAGGGTCTACAAGACCAGCTTCAGGTGGAGTCATTTGCTATGAGGACTATGGAACTCAGGAAAGCTGTTTACTTGCGGACATAATTTACTACACTGCAAGGATGAGATCAAGAGCAGCAGTGTGAAAAAGCTCACAGGGCTGGGTCCCGGCGCAAGCTTCTGGTTGTTCAGTCTCGGTGGAGTCGTGCGGACAGCACTTACTTCTCCCGGCAATGACATGTGACAGCACACACAGAGTGTTGCCAAGCAGGAAAGCGCGCCTGAGCCTTGGTTTCCAGAGGTGTCAATCGTGTAGACATGGCTGACCACCCATGCAGCTGACCTTGGCACCAACATAGAAAGAGTTGAAGAAAGAGCGCGTGCATGATCAAGCGTGTCTGACTCTTTGCAACCCCATCGGTGTCCATGGGATTCTCCAAGAAAGAATGCTGGAATGGGTTGCCATTTCCTCCTCCAGGGGGTCTTCTCGGCTCAGGGATCGAACCTGTGTCTCTTGCATCTCCTGCATTAGCAGGCGAATTGTTTACCGCTGCGCCCACTGGGAAGCCTGTCACCAACATAGGTCAAGCCATTATTGTGTGGCCTAATGCCCCCGCCATGAATCACACCATCGGCATAGATTATCCTGTATAGCCCACAGCCCCAGGTAAACAAAGCCTTCTATCAGCCAGGACATTCCAAAGAAGGGCTAAGAAGTTACTTCACAGGAACCGGGGGCAAAGGGCCAGGTTTTTTTTTGAACAAGGTTAATCCTTTCCTGCATAGTAGGGCCACACAGAATGTTGCAGCTACCAGAGGTTTATTTGGTAAGAATTTGACTTCTGACCTTGAGCTTCTAAATCTCTGATTTAGTTGAATCTCGGTGGCTTACAAGAAATAGTCACTGATCCTTGTCATCGGAAGAGGCCGGAACTCAGCTGCCCCGGGAATGTCCAAGCAGCAGGAGCAAGTGGTGGCGCTGAACTGATGCGGTCCCAGGAGAGCACCTGTGGCCAGCGTGCTGGGGTTAACAAGACCTTGGTCATCCACAGAGGAAAGCAAGAAGTTATTTCCAAAACAAGGAGGAAAAAATAGATGCTGAAGAATGAGACGCGACAGCTGAGCAGCACAGGCTGCCCTCAGACCTGGAGGGACATAGCCCAAGCCCCAGGACGAAGAGCTTCTCTGATACTCTGACCTGTTTATTTTATAACTGTCCATGATCGTGGGGGCGGGTACCAGAATTCCGCTGTCTGTTGGAGAAAACAGGCAGATAGAGACCTTGGGGCAGAATGCTAAGCCGGAGAGCAGGGCATGAGTCACTCTGCAAGAGACAGTGAGAAGGACTTGTGGGCTTCTGTCTGGGCAGATGGGAGAATGCAAACCAGAGAAGGGTGGGGAAGAGATGGGACCCAGCCAAATGGGAGGGGTGAGGGCACGATGAGGATAGCAGGGCTCCGCAGTGCAGGCGCATAAAGGGAGACTGGTTGCCTAGCTGCCACGTAAACCCCCTGTCCGCTCCCAGCCCCCAAACACCTTATTAAAGTTAATTTATTACACCTCGAGTGGCTGTGTGCAAGGGGGTCTTTTGTGGGAACTGGGGAGGAACAGAGTTTTGCCCAAACTGTCACCATGAGAGACAGAAACAAAGGCGTGGAGGCAAGACCTTGAATCAAGAGGGCCACAAAGAGGGACTGCCCTGGTAGTCCAGTGGTTAAAGCTCCCAATGCAGGGGCCCCGGGTTTGATCCCTGGTCAGGGAACTAGATCCCATGCGCCGCAACTAAAGACCCTGAAGGCCACAACTAGAACCAAGCACAGCCAAGCGGATAAATGGTGGTGATGGTTTAGCTGCTGAGTCATGTGCAACTCTTGCCACCCCGTGGACTGTAGCCCGCCAGGCTCCTCTGTCCATGGAATTTCTCAGGCAAGAATACTGGAGTGGGTTGCCATAACCTCCTCCAGGGGATCTTCCCGACTCAGGGATCCAACCTGCAGCTCTGGTGTCTGCTGCCTTCTCAGGCAGATTCTTTACCACTGCACCACCTGGACTTCAATGAGCACACCTTAATTTTAAAATGCTGTATTGCTAAAAAAAAAAAAAGAAAATTCTAACCATCATCTGAGCCTTCAGTACGTCATCATCTTTTTGCAACAGTAACACCAAAGATCACAAATCACAGACCATGATAACAGATAGAATCATAAAAAAGCTTGAAATATTGCAAGAATTACCAAAATATGACACAGAGACACCAAGTCAGCAGATGCTTGGAAAAATGACACACACCGACAATGTGGAGCTGCTCAATTTAAAAAAAAAAGCACACACACAGTATCTTCCAAGTGTAATAAGGCAAAGAGCCATCAAATGAGGTGGGCCTATACATAAAACCCTCAAACCAAAAGTTATAAAAAGATATCAGGGGTGCACTTTGAGTTTATTTGCACAGAAGTAATAAAGTGAGGGTTTAGCTCAGTCCCTCAACAGATGAATGGATAAACAAAATCTGGTCTATCCATACAATAGAATATTATCCAGCCATGAAAAGGGATGGAGTACTAATGCATGTGACAGTCTTGAAAACATGATGCTAAATGAAAGAAGCCAGACACAACAGGTCACTTCTTGCATGAGTCCATGTAAATGGAATATCCAATATAGGCAAATCCATAGAGACAGAAAAAGAGATAAGTATTTACTGGGGCCTGGGGGAAGGGGGAATGGGGAGTGACTGCTTAGTGGGTTCAAAGTTTCCCCTTGGCATGATAAAAACATTCTAGAAATAGATAACAGTGATAGTTGCACAAGATCATGAACCTACAAATGCCACTGAATTATACACATTAAAACGGTAAATTGTATGTGGGTTTTGTCACAATAGAAGAAATAATTTAAAATTTTTATTTAAAGAATTTTTTCATTCCCCAGAGATTATTGGAAGAATTTTCAGGAACCAATTAAACTCATGAAGGGCAGGTGAATTGTTGGAGGAAAAATAATATGCTAACTGTTAAAGAAGAAATTACTTAATGACACCAGTTAAAACATGGTGTTCTCACACACTCAGTCACGTCTGACTCTTTGTGACCCCTTGGACTGTAGCCTGCCAGGCTCCTCTGTCCATGGGATTTCCCAGGCAAGAATACTGGAGTAGGGTGCCATTTCCTCCTCCAGGGGATCTTCCCCACTCAGGGATCAAACCCACATCTCTTCCGTCTCCTGCACTGGCAGGTGAACTCTTAACTGATAGCGCCACCTAGGGAGCGCAGTTAAAGCATAAAGTGAAAGTGTTAGTGGCTCAGTCATGCCTGACTCTCTGCAACCCCATGGATGGTAGCCTGCCAGGCTCCTCTGTCCATGGGATTTCCCAGGCAGGAATACTGGAGTGGGTCACCACTCCCCTCTGTAGGGGGTCTTCCTGACTCAGGGCTCCAACCCAGGTCTCCTGCATCGCAGGCAGATTCTTTACCATCTGAGCCACCAGGGAAACCTAAGGCAGACTTTTATTTAGGGAGATGGGGTCATAACCTTAGGTATAGGGAGCATCTGCCAAGGGGAGAGGGACTGGACCCAAGTCCAAATACAGAGTGAGCACGTGGCGATTCATAGCCAAGGAGCAGGCTGGGAGTCAGTGGATGGAAAGCAACTAAGAGGTGGTGATAGGGAGCAAGACCTCTGTGGGGCTTCTGGGCGCAAACGCCTTTCTGTGTCCCCCATTTCTTGATTACAGGAAAGATGCTTCATTCAGTCTCCCTGACCTTCCCAGAGTCCCAACGGCAGGTTCAAACCGTTGCTATGAATATTAGGGAAAGGAGAGGGTGCGGAGACAAGGGAGGAACAGCCAAGAGAAATATCAGTGCACACTTGGAGCAGGGTCCTGGCTCACCCTCAAGGGATACACATAAACAATATCTTTGAGCTGTTTTGCACACACTGGAACTGCCACTAGACGGGAGAAGTTAAGGGGTGTGCTGCCCACAAGGACATAGACCCCAGACCGGTTGGCACCAGAAGGTTGGTGATGCTGACTCCCACTTACCTCACCACCAACCAATCAGACTGTCCGTGAACTAATCGCACCCTCTGTGAACCATTATTATAAAACTCCTCACTGGAGTTCCCTGGTGGTTCAGTAGTTAGGACTTCATACATCAACTGCAGGGGACACGGGTTCTATCCCTGGTGGGGGAACTAAGATCCCATGTGCCACGTGGCATGGCTATAAGTAATACTGACCATAAATTAGGAGCTTCCCTGGTTGCTCAGTGATCAAGAATCCTCCTGCCAAAGCAGGAGACTTGGGTTCAATCCAGGAAGATCCCACTTGCCGAGGAGCAACTAAGCACAACTTCTGAGCCTGTGCTCTAGAGCCTGAGAGCCACGACTAGTGAGCCTCCCGTGCCAAAAGTCCTGAAGCCTGAGCGCCCTAGAGCCCAAGCTGTGCAACAAGAGAAGCCTACTGCAATGAGAAGCCCGTGCCCCACAACTGGAGAGTAGCCCCCACTCGCCACAACTAGAGCAAAGCCCGTGCAGCACTCAAGACCAAGTACAGCCCCAAACAAATAATAATAAATTATGTTAATAATCATAATAAACAAACATTAAACATATGTTAAAATAAAACTCTTCACAAGCCCCTGCAGGTCAGGACACAGTTTCAAGGTCATTAGCCCCCTGTCGTCCCCTTACCTGGCAAAACAAGAAAGCCGTTCTTTTCTACTTCTCCCAAAACTGTGTCTCTGAGGTTTAGTTCGGCAGAGGGGTACAGAGGCTGGATTCAGCTTCAGTAGCTTCAAGGGTAAGAAAGAGTTTAGCTATGCCAACGTAACAGGATTCT